TCTAATCCGTCAATCCCGAGATATCAGACGCAAAACACACCCTTTTGCTGTGCTAGTCCGTCTGCGGGAACGGACGAGCTAACAACGCCCGCACAGCTCCTGGACTCGGAGCCTGAGCGCTGATAGATCATCATTGCAAGAGTAGATAGACTCTGTAACTATTGGGCATAGAACTACCGCTACCGCCGGGTTACGCCATGAGCAAAGATCAGAATTTGCATCAGCAAATTTCTCTCAACTTTGCCCCATTTGGTCGCCTGCTCTGACGGCAGCACTCCCGGCCTCTGGCACCCGTGTACTGTTCCCTACCTTGACTGTCGACATCATGGGCGCGTTAACACGTCCCACTTTCCGATTCCCAGGACATCTTGGTTTGTCTATGGCGTGATGAGTTCTCATGCGCATCTACTTTGGGAGGCAGCTGTTTCCGTTCTCTGCCGCCATTCGCCTCGCTCCGAGCCAAGTGAACACCTCAAACTGATAGAGACGGACTGAAACCCATGGCCTCATCCTCGCTGTGAATGGGATCAGGCATCGAGGGACGATCCGATCGGTGCGTCGCGTGTAATCGCTCCTTCTGGAACTATCATTCCGAACGGGACAACGAAGACGAAAGTGCCATTCATCATTTCCGAACTCAGGCTAGCAAAGGTCAGGTCCCTGGGTAAATGCTGTGATTGACCAGGCAGTAGCGAACGACTTCAAGAGGCGCAGATCCGCGTGGCGCACGAGGTAGCCACACCTAAACTGCCAGTGAGAGACATTTGATCGACAAGTGACTCATCAGCGTTTCCACGTTGAACTCTCCCTTCTCCTAAAACTTGGGTTGATTCGATCCTGTTACAAATGCGACCATAGTTAGTGTGCTTCTCTCTCGGACAACTCCATATTTAAGAGGAGAGTTTTACTTTTTGGAATGAGTTGTATGGAGCTGCAATGTTTTCTTTCTTTTTTGATAAGGGTAGAAGTAATGACTACTCACAACTATGCAGATGCTGCAGAATTACTGAACCCGTCCGGCTTCTGAGTCTGTTGTAACTGGGCCTGCAATTCGACCAACTAGAGGAGATGAGAGAGAATAATTCACAGATGAAATCGCAAGCACCTCCGATTTTTTCTTCTCGGATCTTTGTTCGATATCCTGTAGTTGGGTCTCTATCCGCTTCTGTATGACGACCGAGTGAGCATAATCAAGGGACGGGTGACAAACTGAGAGACGAACATTTCCCCACGGATGAATTCGAGTCGCTTGTCGACATTGGCCTTGGCTTCTACCTGATCCTGTTTGATCAGGACTGGACCTACAAGCTTGAACACGACATTGTTCGGCGTCAAAGTGGCGAACTCCTGGTGACGGGCAGTTTGCGGAGTTCAGGTGAGAAGGCTTGGTCTTACCTTTTTAACCAGTTCGTTCTCTGAGAGTTGGGCATCGAGCCGCTGGCGGGCCTCTACCGCGTTGGATAGCTCAGCCTGAAGCCTTTGGTATTCATTGGAAGCCACTTGAAGACGAGGTGGCAGAGACATTATGCCAGTGCCCGTGAAGGTTGCGATTGCAAGATCTCCGGCGGGTGACACGTGATCGCGGGAAGCTGGCAGTTGGCAGACTTGGCCCGCAGCGTTTCCATTCAGGGCATACACACACAATTGAACAGCGTCCACGATGGACTCGTCTCCCACCTCGCTCTTTGATTCTTATGAACAAGACTTTCATCAGATCCTCCAGAGCATTCGTATAAAGCTAGAAGGAGATGGTTCCGACCAACGTGGAGGTAGGTATACAACTCCTTTTCAGTTCCGGACTTTACCTCTCCTTGTTCTTCTTCCAGAGCAGAAGAAGGCGACTCTGCGTAGAGTAGAGATGGAACTCGACGAGGCAGACGAAATGGTAGGTTTTCGTCCTTTTTTCGCGCGTATAGGTGCTTACATCGCTCTGCGCAACCATGGTAGATTGCGCAAATGGAAATCGAGATTCAGGGGATACCCCAGTCTATCAGACCACAGTACCAGTCCCGTATCCGGTCCTCCAAGGCGGATCTCGCACGCTATAAGAAGCTCTCTCGTGAGATGCATGCGCAAGCTTCGCGCGCGGATCTGTTCTCCTCGCATGGTGGCAGTGCGCCAGCCACCTCCGATGAGCCCTATGGCTCGAGCGACCGTGCACGTCTGCTAGCCGGCACTACAATCCTTGAGGATGGTTCCAGACGCTTGAAGGAAAGCCAGCGCATCGCTCTTGAGACGGAGGAGCAAGGTACCGACATCCTCCGAAGCCTCGTCGGACAGCGTGAGCAAATTGAGAATGCTCGCAATACGGTGCGTCGTGGCTGCCTGGTCCCCTCCCAGCAGGTTCAGTACATGTTAACTCTTATGTCACACAGCTCCAATCTGCGGATAGTTCTATTGACCGAGCGTCTGGCACGCTCAAGAAAATGATTCGTCGGTAGGTGCTTTCACTTTCCGAGCCGTGCTGGCCAATGCGGTTGTTAGGTGGTTCTAAGGCATTGATTTTGCGTCTTCTTTTCCCGCAGAATGTATCAGCAGCGCTTTGTCACCGCCATCATTATTCTCGTCCTCGTTATACTCATTGGCTTTATTCTCTGGGCGAAACTGCGATGATAGCTTGGCGCCTTCAAAGCCCCATGCACCCACCCCGTTTGCGCCTGTCTAATTTTTCATACCTGTATTTATGCACCTACCGCCTCTGCCATTCATCTTTGTTAGCATGTATGCCTTCGCTGCTGGAATGCAATCTCAGAGGCCTCGGAATAGAGTCCTTGTTGTACGCCACTACAGGTGGCTATATTGCGGTCAGGTTATCCCAGAGTCCCTTGTAGCTCGAGGAATCCTCGTGTTTGTCTCCTATTTGCGACTATACCTTGCTGCATCATCACTGTCACACTACACCCTTGGTCACTATGTGTGCTAGTGTGGGTATATTATGTCGTTCTTTTCATTTTGAATCTTCCCACTTTTGTTTTCGGCATAGTGCCCGCCGAATCATGTCCTTAAGTTTGGTGCACAATCAATTATTTGCTACGTATACACAGGAACAGGGTGTTGTGCTACCACAACTGGCGCAGGTGGGTGGCTTTTGCTCCTTTTACGTTGTACCGTCTGGAACCAGCGTTCCAACTCTGCCAGCGACATTTGTGGCTGCTTATATCCGTTATATCGGCGCGTGACGCTTTCGGGGTGTTTGTTTCTTGTGGTGTGAGAGATGTCGTATCACCGTGATCGGAGGACGATCAGGACGCCGAGACTCGATGGCGCGCGCGTAAGTTAAACCTCGGCAAGGCGCAGTATTCTGGCCTCTGATGCCCGTTCGAACAAGGGCCTCGGGCGAGTCAGAATTGCAATGCGACAAAGGGTATGCCAGCTTTGGCCTTTTTCTACTTTCGTTACTGATCTCTTCCTAGCTCTCCAGATTTGACCTCCCAACTCACCGCTACCCGCGCTGAACTCGCAAATCTTCAGGAGCGTTACGATGCCCTCCGCGCAGACCGTGATCGTCTAGCTCAAACTCTAGAGGAGAAAATGAAGAAATGGAAGCGCTTCAAGCGACATATAATCGTAATGAAGGGCGGCCTCCCGTCTAAGGCTCAGCGCGACAAAGATATGGGGATGAAAAGATAACTCAACTCCGGTATCACAGCAGCTGTCTGCGGTGAAGATGCTGGAGACCCAATAACGCCCATGAGTTGGTCCCTTCCTTTGTTGGTTGGCTGGCAATCGTCGTAACCATCATCCAGAACCGCGCCTAACCCGCGCGGGCGTTAGACCTTCCGCGCCAGATCTGTGGGCCTAGGAGAAGTCCCCTCTCACAGAATAGGCACATTCTTAATACCCCTCGGTGCGCTTTTGAGTCGTCTTAGTCCCATCCAGTCCTTTATCTAACTCAGTGCAGCCAAATCCGCATCTCATCTGACGGTTCATCTTCCACGCGTCATCTCAAGCACACACGCGACGAGAACGAAGATATTGTTGTGGAAGAGATGTCACAAACGCAGGAAGACTCACAAGGTTGGTTTTTAAACATCATGCGTGTCATTCGATGAATTGCCCATCGTTCTCTTCAGCTCTTACCTTTTGGCAGCCATCTACACCTTCCCAACGCGAACGAGCGAGAAAGCTTTCGCTTCCTTCGTGTCTGCTCGCGCCGCAGCACCCGCCTGCGCTCCATTCACCCCCATCCACCAAACGTCCCCGACGCAATGCAGAGCCCATGCTAGAGTCTGCATCGGCAACCTTAACGGCTGTTTCTCGTTACAAGCGGATGCGTATTTGCGAGCCACCTGCACTCAATGCAGAGTTTGAGATTGACCCCGTGACAAACGCTGGTGTGCCGTTTGCATTCGATGAAGTTGTGCGTGGGCGGCACGATCGGAATAGACTTAATGCAGGGGAGTGCGAAGAATGCCGTGGGGTAGGTGCCTACTCTCCGTTGCAGTGCTCTCGTCTCATTGTCGTCCCCTTGTCCCTGGTGAACTAAATTGTGATGTTGTAGTGGTATGACGCAGTGGGGCCACTCCCGCCAAGACTCGAAGCGCCGCGCTGGAGCTCGCCTTCACGCCCGTCATTGCCCATCCTCGGAGCGTCCGATTCAGGGTCTTGGGGCGACGGAGATGGAGAGAGAGCCGGAGCACGGGCGGGGACAGATACCGAGTTCTATGCTGCGGAGGTGAGCGCACACCGGCAAGCGGTGTCTCGACACCGGGCGCAGTGGCAGCGCGCGCCGACTCCTCCCGGGTATTGGGACATCGGGTTTCCGGACACACAAGCCGTGGAGAAGATTAACGAGAAGGCAGCAGAGATACACCGGCGAAAGAGAGCAGCGGTCGCAAAGGAGGTAGAAGAGACGGGTGGGCGGTATCGCCGGCGAGCCTGAAACATTGTGTTACTGTGGATTTCCTTATTACTTCACTATAATCAATGGAGGATGGATGCTAAGGACTCGGAACGGCTCGCTGTGGTGTTGTGGTCAAGGGACGACCGCTGGTGAAATCGCACCGATGGTGAAGCGGTTATCATGCTTGCCTTCTAAGCAAGCGAGCGGCACGGGTTCGACTCCCTCGGTCTGCTCGGTTAGGAGCAGCTCCTTGGCCTCGCAGTCTTTGCGTCCTTGTCTTATGTCGGTATGGTGCTCGCCTCATTCGCACACACATGGTACTGTGAGTCTCCATCCGCTACAGACTTATGGACATGCAGAGCGTTCGGTAAAAGACGTGTTTTCATTCATGCAGTGGAGCTTTGTGGAAACAGTGTTGAGCCTATAAAGTTATACCGGTTCGGGTGGCCAACTTGAACTGGCTGATGAACACCGCTCTCTTTGAGCAAGCATGGACAATCATGTGTGATGGGTCACCGAGGTGGTGGTGGTGCGAGCAAGTATGGGGTTTGGACATATTCCTGGAAAGGCGCGTACCTGCCAGATCTGTCTCGCTGACTCTGACCCTTTCCTGGACGATCTAGGCAGGGAGTACCATGTAAAATATGTGTGGGCGTACATGCTCTTCGGACAACTGGTGGCCATTTCTGTAGGGATGAACTGTTCTGCCAGTGCGCGCGCCACTATGGTGCCGCCGCTGTTGTGGCTGAGGCTCGCCTCACTCGTCACAGTTTTTTTGGTACCGCACTCACTTTGGCACGGCTACTGGCGGCCTGCACATTCGCACGCGGACGCTGTACCAACTCGTCGCGCTCCTAGCCGTTATAGCGCGGGTCCGCACTGCACTCACACCCGGCGCAGGCATCGATTGGGTGGGATGTCGTGTGGACGACGACCTCGTTTCTGATGTGGGTCAGACCGGCGGTACGGGGTCACGCCTTTATAGAGCTGACAGGTAGTAGTTAACTAAACAAATAAATAATAAAATTTTAACCGACAAGTGACTGACCGACCGCGACTTGCCCTTGACACTGACACTGGCACTGGTCTTTCCACCACAAAGTCATGTCGAACAACGTCCCTATCAATCAGCTTTCAGATCTCACCGCACCTACTCCCCAGAACACCCCCCTATCCCACGCTCCCATCTCTGCCGCTCTCTCCCGTCCAACTGTACCAGATATCTCTGAGGATGCGGAACCCGCAGAAGAGACCGCCAATGTTCATGACGCCGTCTTTGGTCTCGTTCAGGGAAGGCTTGCCGGTCTTCTAGGGAAGAGCTCCGGCTACATCGAGAGCCTCCCAGATGGTGCCAAAAAAACCCTCGAGGCCCTCAAAGGCGTCCAAGTAAAGCAGAATGAGTTGCAGAATGAGTACAAGCGCGAGTGTCTCGAGCTCGAAAAAAAGGCGAGTCATCCGTGTCCCTTTCTCTCCCCTTTTTAGATTCATCCATCCATCCTACTGTTCACTTCATCGTCCGATCGTCGTCGCTCGCAGATGGGGTCCGAGTAAAGTAGTATCCCCATTGTGGGTTCGGGCGCGTCTCCGTCTACGCTGTCTTATCCTTCACTTCGACCCAATCGCATTAGATCCGAAATCAGGAGTGATAGGCGCGAATCACTGTGGCGTCTCACGCACCACTCTCCATGTAGAATGTCCTGCCGTAACCTTGCCGTCATCTGTCCACCAATAGCATACACCGTCCCTCTCGCCTGTACATGGCAATTTTCGTGGATCCCTTACTAACTTGCATGTGATTCAATCCCACAGTACCTGGAACTCACCAAACCTCTCTATACGCGCAGGCGCGCACTCATCCATGCCACCGCAGAGCCTACCACCGAAGAGCTCGAGGCAGGTGCAGCCCAGTCTGCCAAGGATGATGCGGAAGATAATCCGTTGGCTGTACCCCCTTCGACTGCTGCCGCTCCTGTACCCGAGTTCTGGTCCACCGCACTGAGGAATCACGTCGGTCTGTCAGAGCTGATTACCGATCGCGACGGTGGTGCACTCAAGCACCTCACCGACCTGCACATCGAGTACCTTCCCTCCAGCGAACCCAAGCCCGGGTTCAAGCTCATCTTTGAGTTTTCACCAAATGAATACTTCGAGAATGACGTGCTCGAGAAGACGTACGTGTACCGTGAGGAAGTTGGATATTCGGGCGATTTCGTGTACGACCGCGCTATCGGGACTGAGATCAGGTGGAAGGAAGAGAAGGATTTAACAAAGGAGTTTGAAATTAAAAAGCAACGAAATAAAAGTGCGTGACGACTTGTTTTCAATTCTTGGTTCTCCTGATGTTAGCTTTTTAGATACAAATCGCACGCGACTAGTACGAAAAGCACACCCAACAGAATCCTTCTTCAACTTCTTCTCACCCCCTGTCGCCCCGAGCGAAGAGGCGATCGAGGCGGGAGAGATCGATGAAGAAGAACTTGACGAACTTGAAGAGAAGTTGGAGATTGACTATCAAATTGGCGAGGACATCAAAGAGAAAGTGCGTTCCATCCGTCCGTATTCGTGTTTCGCAATTCCCTCATCTTTCCGCGATCTTTTGTAGATCATACCGCGTGCCATCGACTATTTCACTGGCAAGGCGCTTGAATACGACATGCTCTCTGAAGATGAGGACGATTACGAGGATGAAGATGACGATGACGATGACGTCGATGACATCGATGTAGTATGTCTTTTTCCGGCACCTTTTTCTCTTGCTTCGCTCATGAATAGCGTACAGGACTCGGATGAGGACGACCTACCGCCGCCGCGGCGCGGTGCCACTCGTGGGGCAGGGAGAGGGGGGCGAGGTGGCCCGCCGGCGAATGTGAATCGGGAAGAATGCAAGCAGCAGTGATCGTGCGATGAGTGAAATGGAGCAGTTTGAGCGGAAGGAGGATAAACCGCCCAGTCGGCCCCTTTCTCAAAGTCTTTAAAAAAACGAAAGAAATCTCGGCTTCTTTGGGTGCGGCAGTATGGTGTCATCATACCCCAGGCTACTACTACTCTACCTGTGCTAGTATGCGAACCCATCATAACCACTCTAATCTCCGTACTACCTAACCCTGACTTTCCTTTATCTGTTTGCTTGTCTTGTCATAGTTGTTGAATTTGCATTGCGGGCGTACGGCGGTTCTCCTCTGACTCGTTGGTGTGATGATCAATCGATGACCGACCACCTGAGGACGAGAAGTAGTGACACGATTTTCTAAACCATGCCGCAGTGCCTTGATGGGTTGTAGAAGGACGTGGATCAGATGACTATGTATCACGACACTTGAAGTATTTCTTCAACCGCATGAACGTTACATCTCTTCTCAATCAGCTCCGAGGCTTCATGCCAGTGACTGTTACTGAGGTTGTCGTCAAACGAGTCTGCCCGCTCCCTCGCTCCGCTCACCACGGACGTTAGACCGATTTCCAACGACGATCTCTCGATTCTCTCCACGCCTACGGCAGGTTAACGTACGATTCTATAATCTCGTGTTCACGTACCCGATCTGACTCCGGGCCGAGACTCCAAGACTTACTACAGTACTGTAACTTACCACCAACTCTTCAATTACCAAGGGTTGCATACGACGCCAGGTCTGCTACGTCATGCTCCATTGTGTACGCGGTGGCTGCTTTCACGGTTACGGCAAATTTGTTCTGTCACAAATTTTCATGCAAATATATTGGCCACCCCCGGCCAGCTACCAGAATTGGAGACACTCCAAGTCGCTCTGCTGCGGTGATCGTCAAGGTCTAGATTGAAACTCAAGACGTGTTACCAGCACTCATCAGGAAACCTGGACTAAAGTCTCCGACGACGGGCTCCCGTAGGATTCGTCTCATGAGCTTCAGTAACCTAACCTGCAACAGCAAAAATAGGTGATATCTCGAAGCTCGTCAACGGCCTCTGTGATAAGGCATGTCGTAGGCGGAGTGCTAGTGGCGGCAATCAATTGAGTGTCTAGCACCAACGTGTGGGCCTGGGCCTTGCCCTCATAGGCACAATTCTTCGCAGAAGGACGTGTTGGACTTGAGGATCGAGTCAGAATGCATCGGCCGTCAGAAACTTGGACACTCAGAGGTAGTCACGATCCGTCAGGGAAGGCCCATGGCAGTGAAGAGACAGTACGGCAATCCAATAATGTGGCCTGTCTCCGAACCGCCAGTCAAGCGTCAACCCGCAGCCCGGAGAACTTGAAAGCACGTGGGCCAGAATATCGTTGAGCATTCTCGACTCGGAGTAAGGATTATTTTGTCTCTTTTTGGTTTATAACGAGTCGGTATTGCTTGCCAGAGGGGATCAACCCCTTGCTCGCGAGGCCTGACAAATGGAGGAGGCGAATGCCAGTGATGGATGCACTACTTGAGGGAAGAGGCTCAGGGTCAAGTTCTTGTGATCGCGACCTTCAGGCGGAGCGAATGCTCTTCTAGCTGTGTCAACCGCCCAGATACCCTTGACGTGTTATGGTCGACCCCATTTGCGCGGAAAGCATACAAGGCACCAAGAGACGGGAGAATAGCGGAATTGGGTTGGGAATACGGACGTAGTACAGCGCAGTCCGAGTCACTTTTCGTTAGGACTCCGAGTCCGAGTCGTCGCTTTTGGTCTAATATGGTTAGACCACCTTGGTTCCCGTGCTGTGTGCGGGCAGGTGTAATATCGTTAGCTTGCGTCCGCCCTCCGAGCTCATACGGGACGACCGACGCGAGCTCGGACGGGCATGGAGATTCCCATCTATGGGATCTTGAGCAGGCGAAAAATCAACAACAACGAGCAAGGATGCACTGGAGAGACCTGAGGGTGATGGATACTGGTGGGTGTGTCGATGGCCGGTGTGATGGCGCCCGAAGGTCTCGAACACTCGTTGGAGAGAGAGAGCGCGGGCCAGCCTGAGGGTCCAGCACCATTTCAGATAATTAAATTAAATTGGTATATTACTGTATAGTACACACGGACGGAACTCGGAGAGTCACTCTCAGGCTTTTCCGCAGGGGTTGCTGCGGACGAAGTTTAGGGGTGAACGTAGCCTCATGGCAGGGAACGAGGCAGCACGTGTTTCTTCAGGTTTCCCGAACGCGTGTAGGTCCTTCGGTAATAATCACACCTCGTTTTCCTTGCTCCCTCTTTGTTGACGTCTAGTAAGTCAGTTGATAGTTAGTCGAATAAGTAGTTACATGGTCTGGACATAACTGCCACC